ATCCACGGCCCTCGATAGCTTGCAGTGCAGCTGCGTAGCCTGCAGGGAACAGTTTCTGACCCCCCGATCTCCCATTCGCAGAGTGATTGCTAGTCCCTGAGTTCCCCCTTCAGGGCCAGATTGTCTCATTCCCAGATAGTCTCACATTACACCAGGCTGTGCTGAAAAGCATTTAGTGTTTGTACATTTTATCCCTTATGCACCAGAATTAACTAGATGCTAAAAGAGTGGGGAGCAGGGACCGTAAAATGTGGTGGTTTAGCTTCTGTGCTATTTCAGGGCGATGGGGTGAGTGCGAGAGATTCCCTCGTTCCCCGTCACTGTCACGCTCCACTCTCCACACAGCAGCCTCTGTCCCAGCCATGGAAAGTTTAACCTGTCTCCGTTCTACCCCTCCATCTCCCCACGTGTCACTTACCACTGTGTCCCTGGCTCTCCATGCTTAGGGGTCACGGCTTTGATGTCTATGATCTTAAGTCAGACTCCTGAGTGCTGGAGAAGGAAGTGTCCCAGACCTGGGAGTGGGCAGGGAAATCTCAATGAACCTCAAAGCACAGTTTGACCTTCAGATTTTATAGCCCTGTTTCTATCTATTGCTAAAATTGCTTCCCGGCTTTTTCTAGGTTTAGTCTAGAATGGATCATTTGTAGATGGGAAGGTTTTTTGTCTTTCATTCTCTTTCTTTTACTATGATGATGCTAAAACTTTTGTAACTAATACAGCCGAATAATGAGGCGAGAAGTGAAGCCGGTTTAGCCACTTCAGAAGAAAATGGGCAAATTTCTTTTCCTGATTTTGACTCTTAAAGGATTCTCTGAGATTTCACTTTATGAATGTGAAATCATGTTATAGCCCACCCTGGACTGTGGATTTTTCTCGTGAGGTCACATACTTTGATATTAGTTTAGTTTGACAGGATTTGTCACAGATTGGTTGAGGATTTCAAGAGACGAACGTTCATTCCCTTTTTTAGGGGAATAGTCCTTTTTTAGATTTTATTTTATTTTAATGTTTATGTAACGCTTTTTGGGTGTGGTTTGAATAATGACAGTGATCAACATCTCTCAGCCTGAACACTGATGGTGAGAGCTAGATTCAGAATGCGAGAGGCAGAGACTGAAAAGGAAATGAAGTTACTGCCTGATCCCTGCAGAGATGTGAGAGACAGTTGGGGGAACAGAGCTGGGAAACTGCTGGGTTTGCTCCTCAGAGCCAGACAGCTGAGGCTGAGAACTGTGAACTCGCTGCACCGGTGACAGAGAGCGCCTAGACTTGGCCTGTGAGTGTTGTGTGAAGCTGCCCCTGAACTCTCTAAAGGACCATGAATGACACCCCAAACAATGATAGATAGGGGAGGGGGCAGCATCTCCCTGTTGTTGAGATGCCAAACTTGGGCTCAGGCAAGAAGGGAGCTGGGGATATCAACAGACCAGGGCAGCCTTGAAGCCAGGCTGACCCCCATCACTGAGGCCAGAGGGAGATGAGGAACCTGATAGCCCAACTGGTTACCCCCTTCCCATCTACTGCAGTGTCCTGTGTTGGGATGGCAGAGACTCTCTTTGCCCCTCTCATCCCATGCCCCATGTTCACCACTTATGTATGGTTTTGATATATCGTGTACAATGTAGGTCTGGTGAGGGATCATTGGAAAACTCATGATCTGCTGTTGAAATGTGTGCAACACCAGTGCATATAGAATGGTGAGATTTTACTTTATG